CCGATGTGGGGGGGTCCCGGGGGCTGCCCCGCTCCTCCCTCCGCCCTTCCCTCCCGCGGAGCCGGGATGAAGCAAACGAACAAAACTTGACGCGGTGGCGGCGGCAGGAAAACGCGCAGGATCCGGGGATGGGGAGGGGGGAAACCCCGGGAGCGGGAGCGGAGGCTTCCCCGGGGGGGCGGCAGCTCCCACCCCCCGTCCCGCCGCTGCGGAGGAGCCGCGCAGCTCGGTTTGGAGAGTTGGAGTCCGACGGGGACGGAAAAGAAGAAGGGGAAAAGGTGCCGTCGGGGGAAGCAACAGGAGGGTCCCGTCCTCCCCACCGGCGGGGCGGGCTGCTCCGGCCTGTCCCGCTCCCCCCCGGGCCCGGGGCTTCTTCGGGACGGGCACGGGGGGCGGTACCGGGCTACGGAGCCGCCGGTGCACCGGGACGGGAGGGATGGAAAGGTCGGGTCGTCGCTCGGAGGAATATGACGAATATTCCGCTCCCCAACGCCCTCGGCTCGGCCCGGGGGGGACAGTCCCGCCCGCACCGGGTGTCCCCCTCCCGGGATGGGGCGGGGGGGCTCGGATTTGGGAAAGTAACGGGAGGTGAAATCCCAGGCGCTGGGAGCATCGCAGGGGGAAGGCGTTTCGGAAAAGGGCAGCGCATCTCCTGCCATTGCCTGGTGCCTCCAACCTCCCGTGCGGCTCTGACTTTGTTCGTGCTGGGGAGAGACAGGAGGAGGGAGAGAGGGAGAGGGAAAGGGAGAGAAAGAAAGGAAAAAAAGAAAAGAGAAAGAGAGAGAGAGAGAGAGAGAAAAAGAAAGGACAACGACCAAAAAAAAAGAGAAGAAAAGACAGAAACGCCGAGAAAGATGGGAAAAGTGCAGGGTCCCAGCGCAGCAGAGCGGTGCGGGGAAGTGCCGCCCGTGGGACCGCGGCTGGCGGAGCGGCGGGGCCGGACGGGCCGGTGCGAGCGCTGGGCGAACCGGGGGCCGTCCCGGTTCAGCCGAGAGCAAACCTCCCCCCGACGCCGGCAGCAACGAAATGAACCCCCGGGAGCCAGAAAATCAAACATTTTCCTTATCGGGGCGCAGGAGAAGGGTTAAAATGGTCGCTGAGTGGCAGCTAAATCAAATTAACCTGCACTCCCCCCCCCCCCCCCCCCCCC